GCTGCCCATCCTGGCCATAGACAGTCAGTTCAATTGTTTATGTATATGTTTTGGACACAGATAACTTTGTAATTTTACCGTGGAATAGTTTCGGAGCGTTCTGAGTATTTGCTACATATCTACAGTACTTCCAAATGGGTATGCTTGAGGTCTATATAAGGGTGACTGCTTTCCTTTGCTGTTTAAAGAAACCTTTCTTAACCTGATGCCTTCCAGATTTACTGGACTTTCAGTGAGGCTTCAATTTTTGGAACAAAACAAAAAATCAATCTGATGTTTAGCTAGCTGTGTCTGAACATTTCAGATAAAGAAGCAGTAAATCAGTCAATGCAGATTCTGTTAATTAGGACATAAGTAGGGTTCTCTAGTGAAGTCATTTCTGTAAAAAAAATCACTCTAAAAGGATATAGTAGTAAATAAAAATGTACGTATATAGCCTATTCAAAGGCTGTGGAGTGAGAGGTTGAGAGTTCAATTCCCCACTGTGCCTCCTTGACTAGGGCTGGACTCAATGATCCATTGGGTCTCTTCCAGCTCTGCAGTTCTAAGATGATGACGATGATAATAATAATAATAATAATAATAATAACAACCAAGAGCAAGTGAGATGATTCAGTTTCTCAGGTGACCCAGAACTTTTCTTCAGCATGGATTTTCCAAAAAGAAGGTTCAAAAGTTAAATAAAATATGTCCATAGAAAGTTATTATCTCCTTTCATTATCCTTTTTCATTCCCAATATGGAAGGACAGTGTTGGAATTTGTACTGATACGTATACTTATCTACTTGAAAGGTCAACCATAAGCAATGGTTATAAGTAGTAGTAGTTATAGTATATTATCTTTGGTATCAAAGATAGTCTCCCATAGTGCATGGATGGGAAGAGGTTGTTGGAATCCCTGATCCAAATCCTATTGCTTCCACATATGTTGATTGTGGGAATCGTAGTTCCCAACAAATAACATTTTCCATGTCTGCAATTCTCTGCAGTCATGCACCATCTATGGAATGCCATTCCAGGCAGCATAGAGTCTGCTCCTGCAAAGACTAAAGAAACATTTATTTCTTTAGGTTTTGGGGACATTGATGTAAAATGTATTTGGTATGTTCCCAGAGAAGTCCAACAATGCTATGAATTCCAACAATGATTACTGTCTTTTTAATGATATTTAGATTTTATACAGTTGTTCTGAAATTGTGGTGTTGTCAGTTCCACTGTGGCCCTGTTGTGGAAGAAAGGCAGAATATCAACAAATTAAATAAATAAATAACTTTATTTTATTGCTTTATATCACCCAGAGTCTTGATAGTCTCTGTGTTCTTCTAAATAAAAGAGATACTACGTGTTTCAAGTAGTTTCCACAAATGAATCTAAATGGGAATTTGAACAGATTTCACTAGCTAGCAGTCCTTTGGCACTTCGTAACAACCTACTCCAGGGCAGCTTAAAATGTATGACCATTTACACAATGAGGTAGGTTGCATTGTAAAATATTAGTTTTTTTATTACTTCTTATAAACAGCTAAAAAAAAATCAAATCCCAGTCCGTGAGATGGATTTTCAATAACAGAGGTAAAGCGTGTGTGTTGCTGTCTATTAGATTCCATAGAAATCTTGTTCAGGCTACTAAAATTAGATCTAAAACTATTTAATTTGGTTTCAGGAGTGTTTTTGCCCATTCTCTCGCCTAGCCTGAGGACACAAAGAGATAAAAGACCTTGAGTTATTATCACTTTATGGGCACATCCGTCTCCGAGCAAGGATTACACAGTATTATGTATTTCTCAGTGGTTTGGCTCAGGCGGTATTAGCAGTCAAAAATTATTCTCCTGCGTCTTTTAAAACATTGACCCTTCTTTTACTCTTCCTTTTCTTATTATACTTGGGGAAATGAAATATGCTTTGTAGATTGGACAGATATTGGTTCATTTTAGTGGAAGTCAAGGTGCATGTTATTCCATAATGGAACTAGTCACTATTACCAAAACACATAAGCACGCCAACCTCCGCACACATAGGTGAATCGCAACCCAAGTATCACTTCTGAAGTGAATAAAAACCTGTTAATGATCTGTCCAGGATTTTGGCTTCTGAGCCCTAGCTTTGTGAGGGTTTTCAATGATGTTTCACAGTTTGGTGAGCTGTGGCAATATGGGTTTCTAGGAAGCAAAATACTATTCCAAACTTCCATTGAAGAAAAGTAAAATAGCGAGTGTAATAAATTCACTACACTTTAGGAAGTTGAATCATGGACATTCATAGGGCTTATTCTCATATAAGTATGCTTAAAATCATGCGGCAATGTTTGGGAAAATAATGAAGCACTGCCTCGACCTCTTTCTACTCTAGGAATTCAGTTCCTTGAAACAGAAATTTTGTCTTTCGGAGAAATATCATATGACAAGATAGGTAGATGTCTTGCCCAATGTAACTCTACAGTTAGACAATGGAATACCATCATCTTAGACAGTAGAGGATGGGGGGAGGCAAGAAAGTGATAAAATGTGGAATTTGTGTGCTTCATGGTATGCCCTGGACCCTTTAAACTAGCCAGCTGCCCTTGTGTGCGGCGAAGGATGTTGTGTTCCTTCCCTGGTATTGATGAAGGATTCTGCTGCCAGTCTGCTATAGCACATTGTCTAATTGTAGGGCTTGTGCTCAAGGGGAGCAGGCTTGTCAGATCAGCAACATCCCGTTTCCTGCAATTCAGAATTAAAACCTAAGCCCAGGAAGTTGGCCATTGTGAAATCACAAGGGCAGGCTGTGATGTCACAAAGGCATAAGAATTGGGAGTGCCACTAGAATGGCTTTGGGACCAGCTGATTATGAAAACAGGTAATATGACAACCCAGAGTCAGGAAAAAGTACTTTAGATGGCTGGGCAGGTGGCAGTCAATGCCAAGCAGTTGCAACTAGAGATGGGCACCAACTGCATGTTCGGCAGTTCATGATGGTTTGTTTACCACCAGATTTGTTTACCACCAGCGATTTGGTGCCCCGTCCCCTCCGGCTTCCCTGCCCCGCTTCCTCCAAGCACCGCTTCTGAGTGAGTGATTGCTGGAGAGGACAGGGTGCCAAACTGCCAGACACCTGTTGCAGCAGTAGACAAACTGGGAGAAGCCACCAAACTAGCAGCTTGTGCCCATCTCTAGTTGCAGTGTTTGCCACCAGCCCTCGGATTCCATGTGCCCTTCGCTGCAACATTCCTGACAAGTAGGGCGTTTTCTGAGCCTTGCATGGCTTCTCGAGTTTATGGAAGACTTAACGCTAAATTTTGTGCCAGATTTCTCCCAGGCCATGTCCCACTGCTTCCAGAACATGTGTTTAACAAAAAAGGCTCAGAAATTAGGATACTGGTGCTCTGCTCCCTGTCTTGCTCCAAATGTCACACTGGAGCCAAAGGCATGCAGATGGGATCCATCCTATTCCTATTGACTTCTGTGATTAAGACAGTCATGCACTACTGTGGAATCGAACGTTTAGAGAACCCCCTTCCATTTCTCTCTCTCTCACTCTCTCCTTTGTTGTTGTTGTTGTAACAATCCATTTAAAAAATCTCCAACATGCAAAAAGCTTAGTATAATCAATTAAAATAGGATGATAATGGAAGTAATTCAGTAAAACATCATTAATGCTGATGTGGCAAACTACCGGTCACCATCTGTCTAATCCTTGCTATATAGTCAGGGAATGTTTTAAAAATGCAATTATTAATAGCATTCATTAACATCTATGCAAAAAAGAACATGCCACATTTCTGGATATTTATGGGGATTTGGGTGACAAATGGCTGCACTTTCTATTCTTCTTTGGTTTGCTGAAATCTAAGGTCCATTAATAATTTTGTGTGTGCTACAGCAGTGCTCAAATAACAAGGGAAGGATGTAGAGTAGACCTCCCTTCTACAGCTTTTCTGTGAGCTTTCTTGCCTACTGTTTTTACCAATGTGGTAAATAGTTTGGCTAAAACTAGTGGTGGGAGTCAGGGTGTAGAGCCTATGGATATTATTTTTAAAACAATAAATCTTCCCATATAATCTGAGCACTGTACAGGGTACATCAGTCAGACCATGTGGCTATAGGTGTGTCCCTTGTCTGATGCAGGAATAGGAAAGCCATGATCTTCCAGTTGTTGCTGGGTGGCAGTTCTACTTCCAGATGTGCTCCTGGAACCTATGGGAGCTGCAGTTCCAGAACACTTACAGAACCATATTTCTCCCAATTTTTGCATTGCAAAGTGAGGATACCAATGATACATGACCTCACATTGCTTCATTTGCTTGCACTAAACAAGTAGGAATCAGAATTAGAGAAATTGGGTGACTGTGTGAATCCATTCCAAAGGTTGAAAAGTCAAATAATAAGCAAAGTTCAGTAGATTCCACTTCCGTGTCTTTAAAAGAATGCATGGCAAATTCATGTCGTGTGCAAACTAGACCAAATCTTTTGCCTCCTGTATCTGGTTCTATTGACCATTCATTCGTTTGGAGAATGTCTGAAGGGGCTGTGCATACGTAGAGCTCAACATGAGGAAGGATTATGGCTGCACCAGGACAGTAGGTATCCACAGTTCACTCCTCTAGCATGTGTGTAACCACCAAAGCCACTAGGCAGGACTGGTTTGTAAACCCCTGTAACTTCATTCCTGTCCCTAAAACCCCCTTCAATTTCTGGAGAGGTTGACTGAAAGTCATAAATGTTTATGGCCCTTGACACCGTAACATAAGTAGAAAACCACAAGAGTCCTAGGGGTTTACAGAATAAATTGCAAGTTTTAAAGACTACAGAGGAAGAGTGGAGTTTGAAAGATGGAGGGGAAAGGGGGGAAAGTGAAGAGTGTCTAGGGATGAGTATAAATAAATTCAGTTTCTGGTAATTGTAATAAGGGGATAATACAAAATCTGATGCCAGTTACATATTTCAACTGCCTCAGTCAAGGAATCTGAAGAAAATCTCACATGGAATAAACATGTATCCTCCTTTCATCTCTTCTCGTTGCAGAAAAAGTAAGCATTCTCTCCACGTTCATCGCTCCCTTCAAGTATTTAAGTCCTGCTACAGCAAATATGGAAGATGAAGACAATTTAAGTAAGAAATTTCTCTCTTTTTTTTTCATAAGGAGATGAACAGTAGAGCAGAGACGAAGCACTGCACAATGTGTGTCTGTTGCTGGTATAGGCTGAAATTTTGGTTTATGCGCAACATATAAGAAGTGACCAGAAACTGCCACTTGCTAAACTGAGATTAAGAATTCCAAGCTGTAATTTTGCAAGTGTTGGGCAAAGCATGGCTTGGTGCTTCTTCACTCCGTTTCACAATAGACTTTGACTTACCATTTCCCACCATGTTTTGGTTCGGCTGGTTGCATGATATTGGATTCATCACATTGGATCCATCACTGATTTATACGAACCTTTGATTTTGAATTTCACATAGTTTGGTAATACAGATAAAGAAACAAAGCTCAGTTCATATTTCCTACAGTTCTCTTGCCCACCAATACCAGCCTGGTAGAGATTTGTTCTGCTTAGGAATCTGTGTGCAAATAATGTTGCTACAGATGTGTGGAACAAACTGTGATGTGTCTTTCCTATCAGCCAGTGACCATTTTGAACGGAGATCAATAATTAGGTAGGAAAGGCTGATGCATTGTGCCATATTGTTGAGTCACACATTCCAAAGCAGCGTGGAAACACACCCATGTTCAACTGCTTTGTTGCTTTGGAACATATAAGGATGGGGCTGCAGTATTTTCCAGCCTTAGGCATCTCCTCTGGTTATAGTAATGAGCAAGCTTTCATTGCAGAAACCACTTATACATCCCCCCACTGGATAAGTAAAGTTTTATTACCACCTTGCACTTTATACCTTATTCTAGAAATTGAAGTCCTGTCACTCAGTGAAGGAGATATGAATAACATACAAACTGTGACGGGCAGAGGAAGGTATGGCGTTGGCACAATAGCAGTTAAATCTAAAAGAATGAGGGTCAGATGTTATACGGCGTTGGCACAATAGCAGTTAATCTAAAAGAATGAGGGTCAGATGTTTGAAGGCTATCCCTCATTCTAGCTCTGTCGCCAACGGTCAGAACCAAGGTAACTCACTCAGCCAGCCGTCCACTCTGTCCTTGATGTTAAACGTCAGATCTGTCCTGAATAAAGCACCCTGTTTACCTCAGCTGATGTCACAGGCTGAAATTGTATCAAATTCTCTGGGCAAGGTGGACCAGCAGACGTCTTGGCTCAATCTACTGATAAAGATGAGGGATCCATGACCCGGCAGATGGTTTCCACTTTGTTTTTAAAGAAGGCAGCAAATTGGTTACAGGAGATACTATTGGGAGGCCTGTCCCTGGGACCAGTCCCGGATAAATCGCACGGATAATTCGACCTGATCCTGGACAAAGCAGCAGATCTGGCATGTATTACCGAGACTTGGATGGCTGCTGAGGCTAGTAGAATATCCCTATCACTAATCTGCCTACCCGAATATTCCATCCATCATCAAGGGTCGGAGAGGGGTATAAAAACACAGTAGAGGTTGTCAGGCTCTCTGCCTTGACAGTCCCACGCCTGGAGGCCCTTCACATGTCGGTGGGAGCCAGGGACAGATTTGGGATGGTACTGGCTTACTCTTCTCCCTGGGACCCAGCACTCTGCTTTCCCGAGCTGACAGGCTTCGTCTCAGAGGCAGCACTGAGGTCCCTCAGGCTTCTTGTCCTCGGGAACTTCAATGCCCATGCCAAAGCGTGGGCCACAGGTCCAGCTCTTGAGTTTTTGGAAACCATGGCTTCTTTGGACATGTCCCAACATGTTAATGGCCCCACCCACATGCCTGGTGACACACTAGACCTGGTATTCTCAACTGGACAGGGAGAGAGTGATCTAAGGGTGACTAGTTTGACATTGTTCCCCTTCTGGAGGAGACCAGCGCCCTTGATCCATTCCAGCCGGGGTTCAAGCTGCACCACAGCATAGAGACGGCATTGGTCACCCTGCAATATGATCTTTTGAGAGAGACAGATGGGGCAAAAGGTCCTTGTTGGTCCTCTTTGACCTATCAGTGACCTTTGATACCACCAACCATAGTATCCTCCTTGGGAGGCTTTCCAAGTTGGGGGTCGGAGGTCAGGCCTTGGCCTGGCTCCAGTCAGTACACCTTGCGGAGATGTTGTCTACTCCATGAACTCTCAACTGTGGACTCCCACAGGGGTCAATCATCTCCCCAATGCTATTTAATATCTACATGAGGCCGCTGGGGGAGGTCATCAGGAGTTTTGAAGCTTCATGTCATTAATATGCAGACGAGACCCAGCAATATCTCTCCTTCCATCCTTCTGCAGTGAATGTTGTCCTGTCCCTTGAGCACTGCCTGGATGGATGAAGGACAATAGACTGAGGCTGAACCCAGACAAGATGGAAATCCTGCAGTCTGGGTGCCTCTGGGTAGCCCCGCAATTATGGGATGCTCTCCCATGCAATATTTGCTTGGCATTGGGAACCTTTAAGCGATTATTAAAACATTTCTATTTAGACAGGCATTCCCGGACTCTACGACATCTGATACAATAACTCTACATTTCTATTTAGACAGGCGTTCCCAGACTCTACGACATCTGATACAATAACTCTAAAATAACCAGAATTTGCTAATATTAAATCTTTGCTGTGCTTTATTTATTTTGTTTTAATGATATTTTATTTGATTTGATATTGTTTTCACCTGTCAATATTGTATTGATTATTTTATTTTATTGTTTGTTTTTGTGTTGTTTGTCTTTATACAGTACTTTGTTTTATGGTATTATGTAAACAGCCCAGAATGGCCGGGGTTGCTAGATGGGATGGATGGATGGATGGATGGATGGATGGATGGATGGATGGATGGATGGATGGATGGATGGATGGATGGATGGATGGATGGATGGATAGATGGATGGATGGATAGATAGATAGATAGATAGATAGATAGATAGATAGATAGATAGATAGATAGATAGATAGATAGATAGATAGATAGATAGATAGATAGATAGATAGATAGATAGAGCTCCAGTACAGCTTAGATAGGCATTATGAGATAAACAGACACGAGCATTTGATTTGCAGTACCCATCAAAATGAACCTTGCACATCAAGAGACAAATTCACATCTGTATATAGATATACATCAAATTCAGTGTGTACATGAAGAAAGGCAACCTTATATCTTCAAGGGCAGGTATATTTTCAGGAATTGTAAAGAAATAAACAAATTAAATAGGCTTTAATTTCCAAGAGTTAGAGAAAGATAAGAAAAGGGAGACACAAGTAAGTTGTACTTCCTGATTCCCAGCCCATTTTTGGTTGGATCCGAAACAACGCTTACTGACGGGGAATGAAATTGAGATCAGATATATGAGATGAAGGAAAAAGAGGATAATTAAGAGAGAGTGGCACCAGGTGGTGAGCATGTGGTATATTATCATATTCATTCGCACCAAAATTAATTTTTTAGCATCATTTTGCCTCGTTGCTGAAACATATTGTAGGATTTTGAAAACAAACAGTGCATTCCAACCAAATGACACACTTTGGTTTGTATCAACATTGGCTACCAGATCATTCTATATACTGGCTGGAAAGGATGAACAAAGGAAAAGATGTCCATTTATAAACCACGAGTGGGGAAAGGACATTTTTGTTCGTGATGTTAGGAATAATCTGCTTTTCTTCTGTCATTCTTACATGTACATAGACTTGTTGACATGCTGTGATTATGTGTACCAAAGATTACAGCAAGACATTTCCTGGGCATCAGTTCTTTCAAAGTGATGGTAGGACATGCTACTGAGAAGTAACATGTGGGGGCGTTTATTACACCCTTTTTTTTCACCTCCCACTCATCTGCATCAGTATCTGGTCCCCACATTCTGCAGCTAGCTGGTCAAAAAAAAAGAGCTGTGAACTTAAAGCTTTGCACTTGGCAGAGGCTCTTTGCTTTGGGTGTGCACTTATAACACATAAGATAATAGGTGGTTGTTGTTTTTTCGTTGATGTTTCATAGGCAGAAAAGTTACTTTTCAGACTGCAATTCCCAGGAACTCCCCAGGGCCACAGACCAAGCTGGTTGAGACAATCTGAGAGTCCAAAAAAGCCCGTAACTTTTCTAAGCTCTGGCAGGTGCAGACAGAGATATGCTGCATTATTCCATGGAACATGCCTATGTACATATCTTTGCATTCACAACAGCACAACATTATTGTATTCTCTTATGTAAGCTACCTTTTTTTACATCCTAGAGGAAGGACCAGAAAGCAGTGCATTTAGTTAACCATTCTCAAGTAAAATTTCCTATTACAACCACATTTTATCAAGCATAAAAAGAACCCTGCCCAATGTCCCTGTTGACATCACTGCTGGTTTGGAGCCCAGCTCCTGTCAACGAGCATGTGCTTCCCAAAATTGTCCTCCTGGTGAAATTCATCATTTCAAAAAAGTGATGGAAGTAAAACCTTTCCCCTTTCTATACTCAGTGTGATGCAGATGGGCAGCAAATGGCATACTCGATATGAGAAGGGCAAAGAGAATGAGCTGTCAGGACATCGTTGGTAGGAAATGAAGGGTCTCGGTTTGCCGTTCAGAATGCACAGGCGACAATCTTACAAAGCCAGCCTGCATTATGACTGTAGTAAACTTAAATGATTGCAGGTACTTTCACATGTGCCCTAAAAGAAATGCATCTGGTCCAGGTTTTAGCTTGATAGATAATAATGAGCAACAGCAGCTGTTCAGGTGGACTAGACAGCTTCACACGCTATGCTGCACGATGGTATTTTTATGAAAAGAAGCTGTAGGGGAGGGACAATGCACATGCACACAGAATTAACCACATTTTGGGCTACAGTTTCTCTCCTAGAATACATTGGAAATATTTTAAGGGCTTTTTCAAAAGCAGCAACATGGCTATCTATCTTATCTCGTACACTGGCAATCTTCGAGATTGATTGATTGATTGATTGATTGATTGATTGATTGATTGATTGATTGATTGATTACACTTATATGCCACCCATCTAAACATAGTCTACCCTGGGTGGCTCAGAA